TTTCATGTTTGGGGGGTTAAAGGTGCCCATCGTGGCCCTCTGGTAAATTTGGACTAGAACCGCCACTGCACAGAGGTCTTTGTTTTTTTTTTGTTGTTTTTTTTAAGTAGCTGAAGTTAATTTGACTCGTTTCTAGGAGATGAAACTTTTAGTTGTTGTGGCTTCTTTAATGTATGGCTGATCTATGGAGCTCCAATCAGGCCTACATTTCTAAAGTCTGACGGGAGATTTCCATGTGTTTATTTATGAATCAAGTGATTTAGAAGGAGAATTTAACCAAAATCTGAGACGTAAACATGATCTTTTTCCAGCTTAAGAAGGTTGAAAACGTCTAAAAACATTCAGACTGAGTGTAAATAAAGCCTGACCTATGGAAGATGCCAACATGCCGGCGTTCCTGTCATTCACAGGTCTCTGCTCATTTGTGACATCTGGTCAGATCTGCAGTGGGAAACAGACGGCGACTCCCACCGCCACCATCTGCCTGCGTGAAAATGGGCCGCCGCGGGTTGCCAGGTCTGCACCACATCCAGCCGATCGCAGGACACTTTGTGTTTTAGAAAGAAGCAAATAAGAGCGAAAAATCAGTGAAGGAGCTGAAGAAAATGAAACAAGTCATTAGAAACGTAACTAGATAGTTTTCAGTTGCTGTTTTTCACCATCATTTATCCTCAGGTTTTGATCTGCAGTCTCAGAATTCTGACTTTTTAAAAATTATGACGATTTTCTCAGAATTTTGACTTTATTCTTAGTGTTATTTTTTCAGTGGTCCTAATCCTCTTTACTGTATGTAATAAGTACAAAGTTTAAACTTTCTAATTTAATGACTGAAATAAACTTACCTGTTAGTTGCTGCTGTTTCTATTTCCCACAAAATTCCGCAATTTAATATTTAGAAAATTAACTTTTTAATTCTTAGAAAAATTTGCTTTTCAATACAAAGTTTAGGGTATTTGGGAATATTGAATTTGGTTTATTTCATAAAGCTGCAATGGAAACACTTTTTTTCACATAATGAATCATAAGATAAACAACATGATGTTACTTCTGACAGAAACTATAAAGCAGACAACAGGAAGTAGTTGGAGGATGATAACACAGCATGATTTTTACTGACTTGTTGCATAAACAAGATTCTCCATGTGTGATTTTAATCGCATTTCTTATTGCAAAATTGTGTTTTTTTCAGAAAATTTACATTTGTAATGGAAACGCTGTGAGTGATCTCGTAATTTATTCAATTTATTAAAGAGAAATATCTGTAAAAAGCTTTAGTCTTGAACAGAGATGATAATTACTGCGTTACATTTTTCCTGGCAGATTTCTGGAAACAGAAACATTTGAAGAAATTTCCTCAGCATGCCGTTTATTCTCTTTCTTGTAGTTGTATCTCTGCCCAGCAGCTGTTCGCTGATCATCGTCCTCGACCCCAATCTACTCCGAGGCCTCGGCAACGTCATCGGATCTGAAGCTGAAAATTTAAATACGGCCGAGTTCTGGAGACCCGAAACGTTCCCGATTGATCCGATATGTCAGCTTATCCGACGGTCCAGGCTGCAGCCGCTGCACCAGGCGTCACTGTCACCCCATCAATATAAATGCAAATCCTACAATCTGGTGAGGGCCGCGTGGATTACGACTGGCAGACAGTCGCCTGTCTGTGAAAACACGGTGAAAGGTCAGCGGCTCGTTAAGTTTGGCTGATTGCAACGCGGTGAATTTAGAGGCAGACAGGTGAGCCGCCGTCGGACCTTAAAGTGCAAACGTTTCCGTGGATCTTTTCTTGACATTTTTACCCGTCTGAAACACGAAGACGTCAGAGGTTCACTTGAACAGTTCCATGAAGTTTTTACAAGAAACCGGGAGCAAAACTGAACATGCAGCCGATGCAACTCTAGCAGGTTGGACACAGTTTTGTTTTTACAACCATCTTCTGACTTTAAATTACGTTTCTTTTGTTTTTGTTGCTGTTTATGCCATGCTGCACATCATTGGTTCATTCATCTCTGGAATTATTAAACCAATGAAATACTTTGAAGGTGATTTTGATATTAAATATCTAGCTTGGCGCTACAAGCTCAGCTTGCTAACTAAACATTTAGCATGCTAACTATTTATTTTGGAGCTAAATATTTAGCTTTCTAACTAAGTATTTAGTTTTTTAATTAAATATCTAATATTTGACTGTGATATTTATAACCTTATAAGATAGCAAAAATATGACTTTGCAAAGTAAACCTAGTTTTTCCTTTCTGAAATGCTAAAATTACCCAAATGCTGTTAATTTTTAATGTGTAACTTTACACCCCATAAAATGAGGCTTAGAAACCTGAGAACTGTTTACCAGCACAGTGGAGAAAGCATCATGCTGTGGGCTTATTTCATTGCCCACAGTGTCTCATTGTGTCTCTGCTGCAAAAGTGGTCAGCGTGAATCTTTCAAAGTGCAACTTTTGTTTTTAGAACAATTAAATCTGCTTGAAAACTGATGAGTTAAGTCTTTATCATACCCATGATGAAGACTTTCTCGTTCGGTTTCTCTTTCCAGCCACATGTGAACTGAATGCATTGTTTGCAGTAAAAAATTGACTCCAGAGTCTTTAAATTTGTGTCCAAATGGAGCCGTTTGGTTCAGACAAAACCCAGCGGAGGCTCGGCCTCAGCTTCAATCAAACAGTCTGTTTAAATTGCAGACCTTTCCCCACTTCAGAGATAATTACCCCCATTATTCTATTGATCAAGTGGCACCTGAAAATCCCTTTAATGTTTTACTCTCTTTGTGTTCGGAGCAGCTACGGAGCTCTTGTGTCGTAAAAAGCGAAGGAATATTTTTAAAAACGGAGATTCACCTGCATGCAGGTTTTCCTGCTGAGCCTCTGGTAACGATAGATAAAGTCTCACAACCTGCCTGGAACAAACGTCTCAAACCCTGCAGAGGTTTGCGATCGCCTCATTGGTTTTGCTAACGAATTCATTAATTAGGCAATCAGACAGAAATTAGAGGTCACTGCATGAGGGGTCAATTATTCTCATCTCCTCCTGGGGTGAAGATAAACTTCTTCCTGTGACCTGCAGCAGTAAAATCAACACTGACAGCCAACACACTACTATGAATTCAAAGCCAACTTTGTCCTTTTTAAGTTTTTAAACTTAACTTTGTGTGTCTGCGAAAACACTTTCAGTGATTTCTGCCTTCCTATTTATTTAAAATCTATGAATATCGTTGCTACAATCTGTGTCAACACTTTAAACTGGCTTTTAAGAGACAGTTTGAAGAATGAGAGTCCAGAATATTTGGTCTTATTGTGACCAAAGTTGCAACATTTGTTACATTTTCAGCATCAAAAGATTTGAATCCTTTGTGCAACCTGTTCCCCTCCTGGCCTGTGGGGGCGCTGCACCAAAAACCACTGAAGGAAACGACAAGAAAACCTCTGAAGACACTGAGCACAAATTCGTTCTTCACCAAATGGAAGCAAAAATGGAGTGGCATCAAATTTTAGCGGTTGGAGGATTTCTCTTTTGTCTTTGGTAAAAAAAACAAAACAAGATCCATTCTTCATGCTAGCGCTAAGCTAACGCCTTTTTTTGGCCGGTTTTACCCAGAATGCCCTGTGATTTAGACAAATTTCACAACAGCTCTGTTTGGTTGCTTCAATCAAACTCTCGTTCCAGTTCGGTTGGAGAGGTGTGAACGTGTAATTGGACAAAAAAGCGGTTTGAATAAGCTTTCAGACTGGAGACCGCTCCAAAAGCAGGAAGTGAACTATAGCGCAGGGCATTCTGGGTAAATACAACCAAAACAAACACACTAGCCAAGCGCTAGCGGGAGAAATAAAAATCCTCCAACCACTAAAATCTGACGCCACCCTGTCTGTTTACATTTTGTGAAAGAATGAAGTTTTGCTCAGTGTCCTTTTTGGAGGTTTTTTGTTTCCTTCAGTGGTTCTTGGTGCAGCGCCCCCACAGGTGAGGAGGGGAACAGGTTTTTCAGAGTTTGGTCGGTTTGACTCAGTTCAGTGTGAATGTGAACCGCAGCATCTGATCAGAGCAGGAACAAATCCTTCAGTCCTACATAAACTGTTGACTCCCTTTAGTTACAGTAAAGCCAACCTGGGTGGAAAGAGACGAGATCTGGTGAGACCAGATCAAATTTTCTGTTGGTAAACTTCAATTCTCTGGAATCTTTCTGAGGATTATCGCATGGTTTAAAAAAAGGGCTGAATGTGATTATTAATGGATTTGTTTTAACGTGTTACATTGTAGGCTTTCAAAATGAACACTTTCTGTTACTGTAATGAATCGCAAAGCAGGGCGACTTTCATAGGAACATGCTGCCCCCTGCTGGACTGTTTTATACAGGAAGGCAAGAAACTTTCAAATAAGCCACAAAATAAATAAAGAGAAAATAAAATGGTTAAAAAATTAGTAAATAAACTAATATTAAGAATAAATAAGAGGAAATAAAACTAAATAAATAAAAAAGACAAAATAAAATTTAAAATAAATAGGAAATAAAACTGTAAATAAATGAGGAAATGCAAAAATAAAATTTAAAATAAAGACTACAGATTAAGGTTATTCATTCATTTGTTCATTCAATAAATGGTGTACTTGTCCTTTAAGTGTCACCTGCTGCAGTTCCTGAATGTATTAAAAGCTTGTGCTGCCCTCTGCTGGCGGATGAATGTAATTACAACTCAGATGCTGCTGCTGGCTCAACATTTCATCACAAAACACTAAACATTTATCAGAATTGTATAACTGTGGCTCTTAAAAATAACAGTTATAGAAATAAAAACTACTTATATTCTGTTTTATAATATATCTCAGTTATTAAACTCCAGATGCTTTTAACCAGAACATGGAGCCTAAAAATAAACCAACCACAGGCTGTCACCTCTAACAGCTTCCTGAACGCGGACCGGGCCGCCCTCTGAGCTCTGACTCAGTCAGCGGTACCGCCCCCCCTCTCCGTGTTCGGCTCATATATAACCAGAACCAGAACCGGCTCCAGGCAGGGAACCGCTCAGACGTCCAGAGGGAGCAAAGATCAGCGGCTCAGACGTCCAGGAAGATAAAACAAGATGAGGCTCATTCTGCAAACGCTGATAACATGTAAGTCATCCGCTCTGTTATCAGCTCACCCAGATACCTGGATAATATTCAGGTTAATTAGTTTAAATGTTTAAATGATGCGGAAAACTATCATGCACCCTGATCTCCTCAGCTGTTTTCAAAGAGATTAAAGTTAAAGAAAGTTTAAATTATAACCTGGATTTCCTGGAGGGAAGCTCCACAGTTCAAAGGTTTTCTCAATGATTGATTGATTGATAAACAGTAATCACTTTAACTAAACCGGCGGAGGCTGGAGGGAAAACGTTGGTTTGTGGTTTTTAATGGCAGGAAGAGTTTTTAGACAGATTTAGAGGCAAAAAAAAATGTTTTATCAGTTTGAAAAACTATTTCAGACCAAACTGTCTGAGAGAGAAACTCTCAGCAGCGTCAGACCGGATCTCAGTTTCCACTTCCTGCACACCAACGCGGCGTGTCGAAGAAAAACATCAGCGTGGTTTTAGTTACAGACCGAAGCAAAACCTGAAGAAACTCCCTAAAAAAACTTTTTAAAGGGTGAAAACTAAAAATGTGATAAGTTTTACTGGACGATAAAACTGTTCCAGAAATTATTGTGATAAACGGTAATGTTGTTGTTTTGACTCCATTTTCAATCTGCTTCACATCTTTGCAACCATTTTGCAAAGAAACAAACAAAACTATGATGAAGGATTAAGAAAAATATTTTTAAAAAGTAAGACAAGGTGATAATATTCCAAGAATAAAGTAAAGTCATATTTTAATGGAAGTTTTCATACATAAAAAATTACAATCTGGAGTTCCACAGGGCAGCTGTTTGGACCTTTTCCGTTTTCATCATCAAACTCCAGGATAAGTTGAACAAAATAAACAAAATGTGTCATCTGTTGCTGATTTCACAACTATGGATGATTTTTTTGATGTAAAGCTCTTTGAGTTTCTGGAATGTTCTACACAGATTACAGATTATGTAAAACTAACCAATGGGAATTGTGTTTTTCTTGACTGGTTTTGATTTTTAAATGGTTTTACGTCTCAAAATATAGAATATTGTAGAGAAACTGCTGCACTGTGAACCATAAGAGGCGAGATGTAGAGTGGAAAAAGACTGAAGTGTTGTTTGTGTGGAATTACAGGTCTGCTGTTATCAGCATCTTCATCAACGACAATGACACCACCAACGACACCACCAACGACAACAAAGACACCAACAACGACAACAACGACAACAATGACACCACCAACGACAACACCGACAACAAAGACACCAACAACGACAACAAAGACACCAACACCGACAACAAAGACACCAACAACGACACCAACAAAGACACCAACAATGACACCACCGACAACAATGACACCACCAACGACAACACCGACAACAAAGACACCAACAACGACAACAAAGACACCAACAATGACACCACCAACAACAAAAACACCAACAACGACAATGACAACAAAAACACCAACGACAGCTAAAGCAACACCACCAATGACAACAGCATCTATACCTTCGTCAACTGAGTTCAGCTCATCAGCCACATCATCTCAAACTGAGATCAGCACTACGACCATTTCTGCATCTTCATCACCACCATCATCGTCCACAGCAACATCAAGCACCACGGATACGACCGTCATCCACACAACCGTTCAAGTAACGAACTCCGTCAACCAATCAACAACCACCATAACCGAAACCAGCAGCATCTCTACTGGCTCCACAACCAGTAAAAAGGCCTCAGAACCACCAACGTCCACCGGAGCCCCGACCACCAGGCCTGATGCTGCTTCTACCGGCAGCCCTACGTCCACTAAAGCCCCCAGCAGCAGTCCGCCGGCGGATCAGGAGGGACAGCAGTCAAAGGCGCTGAGCCCAGGTAGGCAGAGCCACCATTTTACTTTTTATTCTTTTGGAATCAAAATCACTGATTTTGTGACATTTTTCCTCATTATGCTCCTTCCAAAATCAATATATAAAAGAAAAAAATAGTTAATTGACCTGAATTGTGCACCTGCTTGTGAAAAATCAAAATTTTCAGAGTTTTGATGTTGATTTGGAGGCTGAATCTGTGGTCTGATGCAACACTGGAGTTAAAACTTTTGAAATCGGGGAACGTTTCCCAAACTGAAGGGCTCAGAAGCTGGTAAGACTCTGAGAGGTCATTTAGAGTCTGGATAGCCAGATGTCTGGAATTCAGGTCAAGGTGAAACTCAGATGGGGATTTCCTTTTGAGATTATAATCTGTTAAAATGTCAGATTTTTCCATCACAGTTTAAAAAATCCAGTCAAATATTTCAGTAATACACCCCCTGAGTAGAAGTAGAAATTATTACGTTGGGTTTTGAGTGAAATTATTATTGGAATGATTTTATTAGGGCTCCAACGTACATTTTTTAAAATTATAAATATGTTTTCAATAAGTTTTATTACAAAATAACTTACTTAATTTTATAAAAACAAATTTTTCTTGTAATTTTAAGACGTTCGTCTGGTAAAATTGCGTCTTTATTCTGCTAATATTGTGACTATATTCTTGTCAATAAATAAAAATCCTCATCGCTCAACTCAGAAGTTGATGATTGAAATAAAAGCCACTTTTTAAAAACATTTTCTGTCATTTGATGTTGTTTTAACAGATATGCTTCAGAATAAAGGACTTTCTGACATTTAGCAGCTAAAACACATTAATAAAAACCTTTTCAGAATCTGATGGCTCCATGTTTCCTGCAGTCGTTGTGAAACGTTTTCATCCATCCCACTTCTGCCCTCATAATGTGAAAAAGTTCCTGCTGTGGTTAATATGTGAACCGATTTCTTCTCTCACTTCCTCGTTTACCTTCAGCGACTTCTTCATGAGATTTACAAACAAACTGAAAAAAATGTTTTTTTAGTAACTGCTCTTCCTCTTTGGTTGGAAAATCAGTTACGGAAATAATTCTGACTTTCTCTGCAAACGTTTTGATTCTGCTGCTTAAAATTTCATCTGTTTGCCATGGAGCCCATAAATAAAAAATAAATAAAAAAATCCAGGTGTTGCCTCACCTGTAGCGTTTATTAGCTTCCATCATGGTGGAGGTAATAAATGTGACTCAGAAGCTTTATGGTTTCACGAGAAACTGAGTCAACTCCGGGTTTAGTTTCAGGTATATTCAGGAAATAAACAAAAAGTTTTTAACAGAATTAAACATGAAATTAAAAAAGCTAAATGCTAAATGCTACATGTTATAGTGCAATAATGATATATGTGTCATTTAAAATGTGAGTCTTCTGGTGTATTTGAGTTGAAAGAAGGATTGAGAACAATTTATATTTTATTGTTTTCTCTTTAAAAAAAGAAAACAATGAATAGAGAATATTGCATATACTAATATTTTATTTAAATATTAAGAATATTTTACTTAAATGTTTTTAAAATTGAAAAATATATATTTCATCCTCACTTTAAGAAAAAAATAAATAAAAATACAATATTCCAAGTTTTTCATATTTAAAACATTTTAAAATAAAATAAAAAATTGGGGTTTTTTTATTAAAAAAGAAAGAAATCTTCATGTTTCCTTTGCCTAACTTTTCTTCTTACATTTAAAAATTATACATTTTTAAAAAATATCTAAAGAGAGGGGACAACATATTTTATTTTTGTATTATTTCCTTTATTTTTTAAAAAATAAGAGAAAAATTCATTTGTTCTTATTTTCTAGAGAGAAGAAAAATGTAAAGAAAATTATGTAGATTCATGTTTTCATATTTTAAAAATAATAATTTAGAAAGAGAAAACATTACCTTTTGAAACAAAAAATACATTTTATTATAAAAAGTATATTTAATTAAGATTTTTATTACATTATAAACAGTATAAATACATTAAAAAGAGAACATTATGTTTATTTATTTACATAAAGTAAAAGAGAGAGTGAATAGTTCATGTATCAGATGAAGCTTTTATTGTTGTTTCCTTTTATTGTTTTCCTATTCATTTCAAAGTTCAAAGGTCAATTTTGTCTGACCTGCTGGAAGAGGGAATTATCTGAAGGTCATGGTTCACTGACTGTCTGAACAATCCGATGACTTCATATTTTTATCATTTATCTGATTTTTTATGAAGAAACTCTGAATTTCTGTCTGAAACGCTCTGAGCACAAACACAAAAACATTTTTAAAACATGAAACTTTGCGATTCTTTAAGCCAAAAAACAAATAAATGCTTATATTTAATCCAACATGGATCCTGTTTTTGCCTCTAATTGGGTTAATAATTAAACGTTTTCCTAGCAGAGGCGTTTAAATCTGATCTGTCTGCAGGAAGCGTCGTCGTCATCGTGGTTGTTTTCCTGCTGCTGGTTCTGCTGGTGCTGGGAGGATTATACCAGCACAAGATCAGGTCAGGACCAAACAGTGATAAAACACTAAATCACCTTTATTCTCATTAATCATCTCTGTGTTGGTGTTTGCAGACGGACGTCGTACGGCCCCCTGCTGGACAGCCATGAACACGGCTCTTTGGGAAACTTCACCAACCCCATGTACGACCCCTGATGACCCCTGATGACCCCTGACGACCCCGGACAAATCTAAAATCCTGCACTCTGAGCCGTTTGTAAAGACAGATTATAAACGTCTCTGCTTTAGAAACACTGGTTAAATGGCGTTTTTTGTGTTTTTGGAGTTCAGAACATTTTTAATGTTTTTTCCACTGAAAGTTGAAGTAGGAATTATGAGCTGCATGAAAAAGGCAAAAAAAGAACAAAAATAGCATCAAAAAACAATAATTTAATTATTTTTAGCACGGAATTTATATTGTTTTTACATAAATATTGTCAATTTTCCTTGCAGTCCTTGCAGCTATACGAGTTACTTTAAACTGAGATAAAAAGAAATTAACTAAAAACTAATTAGTTAAATTCAGTTTTCAGTGACAGTATTTATTATTCAACAAATTGTGTTTAACAATGGTGAATATTTTAAAATCAAACTAAGAATTTCTGTCTTATGTCTTATTATTTGCATTATTGTGACTTTAAAAATCAAATAGACAAATTCATGTTTAAGTTAATTATAATTCTGTGTTTCTGTTTATTTTCAGTTTTTTTTGTTTTAAATATTTACATCAGTTTGGTTTGTAATTTTTAATCGTTGCTGATTTGTGTGAAGAATAATTTTGTTTTGATTCTGTGAAATTAAATAGTTTAACTAAAAATAGTGATTAAAACAATAATGTGAAAAAGTTTATTTTTTCTTTTTCTTTTGATTTGGTGAATTAAAATGGTTTCGTAATCAGAAAACAGTCTAACCAGCTGAATAAGTTATTAAAAATAAAGTGAAAAGTGGGGAGATTAATAACTAAACAGTTTGTTTTCAGATATCAGATTAAAAATGAACCTCATAAAATATTTCATAATCAGAGCATTAAGTCATAAATACGATGCTAACAACAAGCTAGCTGGCTAACCTATTAGCTGGCTAGTCAGCTTGCTGCCAAATTAGCTTGTTGCTAAGTTAGCTACCTGCTAACAATGTGTCTTGCTAACTGGACAGATTCAGTATTTTTCTCCGTCTAAAAGATAATCCTGCAGAAAACACTTCGGCCATCTTGACCTGAATATTGACGACACCTGGATGATAACGCACAAAAATGATCAAAGACACACCAGCATGTTTATCTTTAAACGGCTCAATAACAAAAGCAATAAAGTTTTACAGTGTTCTAGTAGAAACCTAGTTTAAACCTGATTAAAATCCTTGGTTTGACCTTAACAGGCTGTTCATGCTGGAAAATCCCCCAGTTTGGTTGAACTGAACCAGTTCTGCAAAAATCCTCCACAAGGATGTGAAAACCTCTTATTGTCCGTTAACACAACGAAGACATGATGGCACCAGGGATGGCCCAGTGAATTATGTGTCCAGTTTGGATCACTTTTTCCCCTAAATAGAGACATTTAGTAGATTTTCATGTTTACTCTGGTTATCTTCTAACTTTAAGTTGTTTGATGATCTGAAACATTTAAGTGAGACAAAAAGCAAAAACAGATAAATCTGTATTTTTTTCACAGCACTGCGAAAGAAAAGTATTTGTTTAGTCATTTTAAAATTCAAAAACCAATATGTACATGCTTTCAATACCATTGAAAGCATGTACATTTCTTAAATAACATTTTTAAAACAAACTTTGGATTTGTTACAAAAACCAAAGGGTTAAACTATATTTTGTACCTAATAATGGCCTTAAAATGTGTTATTTATCTGTAAAATATGCTGAAAAAGTGTCCATCTAAGCTTTCAGGTCAGATTTGCTCCTTTTGGGCCCCAAATCCTCCAGAGGGTCTCAAATGAAGAATCTTGAAAGGAGTCGTTTTTATTCAACCCACTCAATTTGTCGCCATTACTGGGCAGCAGTAATTACAGAGGGAGCAGATTCTCATGCTACGCTGTGATTATCAGGCCCTGAATAGTCCATCCAGTGTGAGTCCATATGGTTCCTTTATAATTACACAGCAGGAAGGGCAGACCGATACCAACGGTAGTAACATCTGGACCAGCTAAGTTCATATATAAGGATTTAAATAAGTGAATTAATACAGATTGAATTATTTATTCAGCTGTTTTTCATTTATTCTAACACTCCTTCCTGATCAAATACAGTTTTAAATCTACCCTCAGAAATATTGTCATTTTTTTGTTCAAATACTGATTGACATAAAAAATATATACATTTTTAGAACCAAGCAGACTTTTAGATTTGCAATAATAACAGTCAAAATATGCTAATATTTATCTGGCCTTTCTGAGTTTTCTGTTTTTCCACTCATGTTTATTTCAAACATTTAAAACTCTTTATTTATCAGTAAATTGTGCCACATTTGCAAGGATTTCTCTTTGTGGTTGGACTGTGTGAAACTTACCAAACCCTGTCAACGCCGAGCAGCTTTTGGTGGAGGCAGTATCATGGTCGGGGCCAAACCACCTCACTGGAAAAAACAAGGGGTTGTTATTAATGGAGACAATCAGAGATGCATAGATGTTCAGATCTACAAGCTAAATATGCAGTTAGCAAGCTACAAATGTAGCCTCATACTTAGCTTGTTAACTACGAAATATGAAGTTATCAAGCTAAATATTTAGCTATAAGTTAAGTATTTAGCTAGCAAGCTAAATAACAAAATATGTAGTTAGTTTGCTAATGAAATATTTAAGTTTTCACTTTTGACTGTAACTTTACAAATGACACCCATTAACGGAGAAGTCTTTAGTTTAATTAAGTACATTATTAGATTTTATGCAATTTATCCAAACAGCAGCAAAGAAGACATATTAAGGCCATTTAAATGTAACATAGTTTGGAAATAAAACGGTTTTCCAAGCAACAAAGAAAATAAAGTCTAATTTTCCTACTATGTGATTAGACAACAACCTGTCAGCAGCGTGTAGGAAGCTGAAAGCTGTTAGCTGAAAGCTGTTAGCTGAAAGCTGTTAGCTGCTAGCTGAAAGCTGTTAGCGTGTTAGCAGGTGCGGGGCAGTCAATGTTGACTCCTGTGGTTTGCAAACAGAACGGAAACTGTTGCCTGAACCAACGTTTCATTTCAAGAGAAAAAAACTTCAAAAGTTTCACTTTCTGTCCGTCTGAAACTCTGTGGCTGACTTCACTAAGTTTTATAAAAACATTCGCATCAAGCAGGAATAGATGAGGCACCATTACCCGTCCTGAGTTCGTCCATCAACGGGACCATATCGGGTCCAGTTCTGGTCCAGTTCGGCCGCTTTAGAAACATACAGCCGACTAGTTTTCTTTATCACATGATAAACAACTATACATATAACAAAATCAAAGAGGTGCTTTAAAAATATCAATTTGGAGCAGTTAAGACCAAACTGAGTGTTTTGTTTCTGAAAATGGAGTAGTAATTTCTGTCACCACTAGAGGTCAGTAAACATCAACATTCCTGAACCTGGAAACTCGATTTTAGCCAAATAAAATTAAATGAAACTTTTACCTGAATGTGTTTATGGCAGTTAAAATAACATATTGGTTTTCCTTTGTGCTAAATAAAATTATTTCTCTTATTATTTTGCTTAGTTACATTTAACTTTGTGAAAACTGTCACAATAAAAACATGAATCTCCAGCATTTTTGTGAAAAAGGTATTGATTTAATAAAGAAAATATACATACAGGAGCAAGCCAAACATTTAGCTAGCTAAATATTAAATTACCAAGATAAATATTTGGCTCCAATCTGAATATTCATCTACAAATTATTTATTTAGCTAGCAAGCTAAATATTTAGCAAAATATTTAGTGTGAAATTGGGACATTTATAAATAAATTAACAAAGTGAAAGTGTGTGATGTATTAAATATATATGCAGTAAGCACATGATATTCTAGACCATTGCATTGGGGAATTTACGTTATTTATAAAAGTGTTTTATTCAAATAAAAATGGTAATGTGACACTTTTACTGGGGAGTGATCTTTTAATTTGACAGAACTGAGAGGATTTGGTTTGGTTTCTGTGAGGATAACAAGTTCAATCAGGCAGCTGATCTTGACAGATCAATTAAAATATCCTGATATTTTCCTAAACTTTTAATGACTTTAATGCTGTTGGGATTAGATTAAATCTGGAGCTGAACGTTTCTGATGCAGTTTGTGGTTTTAAAACACGAACATTCATGTTTTACTCAGGTAAATCATCTGCAGTGGGTTTCTTTCTCATTCCAAAGCAGCTTCCATTTCCCACAAAGATTTTATCTTTTACAGAAAATGATTTTCTGCCAGAGAGCGGCTGAAGGTGCTGATGTTTATGAATCTTTGGACCTGAAATCAGTTCCTTGTTTGGAGAAACAGTTTATCGTAACTAGAGTAAATATATCAGGCCCAAACAGACTGTTAATTAAAATTAATGAAAACATTCCTCCATAACCCACATTGCATGGTTTTTTTTAAACTGCGAGTCCCAACAGAAGAGTTCAGCAGATACATTTGTTAAAAAATAAAACAGCATATTAGACAAATGTTGCAATATTTTCTTCCAGAAGAGAAACACTGCAAAACCACAAAATATTACCAACTAGTTTCTAGCGCAAATATTTTAATACACTTAAAATAAGACAAAATTAACTTACAAATAACTTTTCAGCTAGAAATATGAGGTTATTTTAAGTCAAAAATGTCTTCATATTTATGAAAATGTACGAGTTCCACTGGCAGATTATTTCACTTTAACATCTTAATCAATATTAAGGAATTATTACTTAAAACAAGTTCGTATATCATGCTGAGAAGTTTTAAAACTTAAGCTTGACAAACATTACCATGAAAAATAACTGGTAAATGTTTTATAACAAATAATTGCTTCCACAGTTGTAGAATCGGTAGATAATTACAAAAAAAAAGCTAAATAGACAAAATTCAGTTTGCGTTTTAGCTTATAGATCAAGTAAATGATGATTTTTAATTTATTAGTTCACATTTTCATCGAACTGATTTCAAACCGCTATGCTAACATTAGCATCAGATACAGTTCCCCCGGTAATAAACTGGATATTACTTCCCTAATAGAGTAGAATAGAGTAAATATCAATCTAGCTTTGAAAACAATCATAAACGGACATGAATCAGTTCTGATGAAAGTAAACTAGGAGAAAAGTGGGACAGCTTTACTGAAGTCCGTGATTTGAGCTGCGCGGTGTCCGTAGCTCTTTTTGCGGCGCGTGCAAAGCGCCCTGAACAAGCGCGTGCGGTGCGGTACGGAGACGCAGGGGAAACACGAATTTACGCAACGGTCACAACAAGGGCTCCGGCTGATGACGTCACGCAACCACAAGGCGCAACCACAGGAAAAATAACTGTGCAACGTACACAGTGACTGTGTATCCAACTGTTTGAATGAACAAACCACTGAGGGAAAGTTGAGTCTCATCCTTAAGGATTCTGTTTGGAGGGAAAGAAGGATTTCTGATGAAATGGGTTGGAGAATGAAGACAAGCGCTGGTCCATCATCATCGACTCCATTTCATATTAGTTAACTTAAGGTGAGCATAACTTAATGCCATTTATCTATTGATGACTTGTTTACAGTGTTTGTATGTCAAAGACTTGCTAACAAAATGTATGGCTCTGTTCTGAAGCATC